CAATAATAGCACAAAGGAGGTGGGTAGGAGAACATCTGTCTTGGGCTAAGGAAAGAACACCAAGTGGTAACTTGAATCCGCAGGAACAAATGATAAGAATTGGAAATGGGAAGTAAGAAGGCTAATATGACATAAGCTATGGATATACAATTGCTCTCGTTTCTTCTCCCAGCTTCTCTAAAACACATAAAGTTAACTAAAGTAATAATTATAACAAGTATTGTTGAATTTGTAACATACATAGATGTAATATGTAAACAATAATGCCACAAGAACAAGGAAGAAAGTATAGAGCTACAAAGGAGTTACATTTCTATATTGTAGTTAAGTAACATTTCTCACTGGAGTTAAGTCAGTATAAATCTAAAGCACATTCTGATGAGTTAAGAGGTATAAGATAAGCCCTGGAGCAACCATTAAGGAAATAGCTTTTAAAAATGGAGAGGGCTTCCCTGGTGGCGCAGTGGTTGAGAGTCCGCCTGCCGATACAGGGGACACGGGTTCGTGCCCTGGTCCAGGAAGATCCCACATGCCGCGGAGTGGCTGGGCCCCGACAAAAAAAATAAAAAATAAAAATAAAATAAAAAACACGCTCCTAAATTACCAGTGTGTCAAAGAAGACATCACAAGGGAATTTAGAAAATACTCCTGTGATAATGAAAATGAAAATACAACATACCAAACTTATGGGATGCAGCTCAGAGGAAAATTTATAGCTATAAACACTCACATTTAATTTTTTTTTAAAAAAATGTACAATCAGTGTCCTAACCTTCCACCTCAAGAAACTAGAAAAAGAAGAGCAAATTAAATATAAATCAAGCTAAAGCAAGGAAATAATAAAGATTAGAGTGAAGAATTGAAAGCAGGACTCAAAGAGATATTTGAACACCCATGTTCATAGCAGCATTATTCACAATAGCCAAAAGGTAGAAACAATCCAGTTGTCCATTGATGAATAAATGGATAAACTAAATGAGGCATACACACAGACACACAGATACACACACACAATGGAATATTATTTAGCCTTCAACAAGGAAGGAAATTCTGACACATGCTATATAACATGAGTGAACCTTGAGGACATTATGCTAAGTGAAATAAGCCAGTCACAAAAGGATAAATACTGTATGATTCCATTTATATGAGGTACCTAGAGTAGTGAAATTCTTAAGAGACAGAAAGTATAATAATAGTTGCCAGGGGTTGGGGGAGGGAAGGGGAGGGAATTATTGCTTAATGGGTACAGAGTTTCAGTTGTGCAATATAAAAAGAGTTCTGGGGATGGATGATGGTGATGGTTGCACAACGATGTGAATGTACTTAATGCCACTGAACTGTGTACATTGAAACATGGTTAAAATAGTAAACTTTATGTTGTATGTATATTGCCACAATTTTTTAAAAGATTAGAGTAGAAAGTAAGGAAATAAGAATAGAAAAACAATAGAGGAAATCCACTAAACCAAAAGTTGGTTCTTTAAAAAGTTCAACATAGTTGACAAACCTTTAGCCAGAATGACCAATAGAAAAGAGAGAAGACTCAAATTATAAGAATCAGAAGTGAAAGAGGGGGACATTATAAAACAAAATGAAAAGGATTATAAGAGAATATGGTGAACAACTGTATGCCAATAAATTCATTAATTTAGATGAAATGGACAAATTCTAGAAATACACAAGCTACAGAAACTGACTCAAGAAGAAATAGAAAATCAGAATAGACCCATAACAAATAAAGAGATTCAATTAGTAATAAAAAACATCTACTCACAAAAGAAAGCCCAAGCTCAGATGGCTTCACAGGTGAATTCCACCAACCATTTAAAGAAGAATTTATATTAATTCTCCACAAACTCTTCCAGAAAATAAAACAGGATGGAATACTTCCTGAATCTTGGAACTGATAAATGTTATTACAAGGATGAACCTTGAAAACAATATGCTAAGTGAAAGAATCCGGTGACAAAAGACCACATATTATATGAATCTATTTATATGAAATGTCCAGAATAGGGAAATCTACAGAGACTGAAAGTAGATTAGTAGTTGTTAGGAGATGGGGGTTCAGAGGGTGATAGCTAAAGAGTATGAGGTTTCTTTTTGAGGTGACAAAAATGTTCTTTGATTGTGGTGATGGTTGCACAGCTGTGTGAATATACGAAGAATCATCAACTTGTATATTGTAAATGGTTGAATTATAACTCATTAAAGGTGTTACCAGAAATAAGCATTTCACTTTTAAATATTATAAATGCTGAGCTCTTACATAATAGTTCATTTGAAACAAAGATTTCCACCTGTTCCTTCATTCAGGAAGACTTGTACTAAGCACCTGCTGTACTGTATGGTACCTGGGCTGGCAGAGATGAATCGAGCCCAGCACATGCCCCTGGGGCCTGTGGTCATACTCCAGCCTGCTAAAACACTTACCTAAGTATGTGCACTCTGCATTGTGATGCAAGGGAGACAAAAATAATGCTGGCCAACAGTTATTGAGTGCTTACTGTGTGCCAGGCATTGTGCTAAGCACTTTTCATGCATTACCTCATTGAATCCCCACAGCAGTCTTCTGTGTTAGTGTTCTCACTAGCCTCGTTTTACGGATGGTGACCCTGATGAAGAGTGAAGGGAGATCCTTGGGTCTGCAGGAATCCCGGATAGAGTCAAGTTTGAGATGGGGCCAGAAGAGGGGCTCTACCAGCTCAAGGGAGAAACAAGCTCCACAGGCCATGGAAGTCTCAGCCTGGAGCAGTGTGGATGCTCAAGGAAACAAAGAGCACAGAGGCCCCAAGACCAGGGTTCTGCCCTCTCCTCAGCACGTCAACTTTCTGAGGCTCTGTTTCTCCATCTGTAAAATGGGGCTATTACTCCTACTTCGGCCACAGAGTTAAGAGCCCTGCACAAGACAAGAGAACACGCTGTGTAACCCGTATAAAGGAAGGACCGTGGTTAGCACAGTGCTAGAAAGTGAGAGGCACCTAGGAGAGGGACCCTCCTACCCCTCACATTGGGAAGAGCTCTGGCCCCGTCTGGGAGAACGCAACGCGTGTGCAAATACACACACCTTCGCCATCCCTCCACCTCTGACTCATCATCTGTTGCCTTTGGATACTGGTCACCCTTGTCCCATCAACCTGCCAGCCCCACTCAAGCCCCGCTCCTCCTGGAAGCTTTCCCAGGCTGTCTGCCCAACACGAGCACACCTCCTCAGAGCCCCTGAGAGTCCCTGCTTATGTCTGAGCGTCACCTGCCTGCGGGGTTGAAATCTCCACTCCTCCACTGACTGGCTCGATGGTCCAGTGTGAGACCTTCACTCACACAAAGCATCCCGTAACAGGAGGCTATTAAAAGAACTTAGCACACCAGGCAGAAGTGAGCGTTGAATGAAATGCTTGGAGAGCACTTAGCACACTGCCTGTCTCCTCCTTAAACCTGGTGGAGTTCTGCTCTGCCCTGTAGGCAGAGTGCCTGAGAGCTGACAACCCCTGTGCTGGCGGCTCAGCTGGGGAAGGTTCACTGGGTGGGCCATGGGCACATCTCTGAGCGCCAACCAGATCCTCACCCTCTGCCAGGATCTCCTCATGCAAAGGGCCCCTTGCTTACTGTGTGTACTGAGGGTAGACAGGGCACAGGGGAGTGCGGATCTGGAGGGCAGTCCATCAGTGGGTCCAGGGTGGGTGGGCCTCTCTTGGCCAGGGCTGGGGCGAGGGCTGAGGTCACCGGCTGAATCACCGGGGATCTTACTAGAACACAGTTCTGGGCTGGGCCTGAGATTCTGCATTTCTAACAAGCTCTGGGGTGACACTGATGCAGCTGTGGCCGGCCGTACTTGAAGTAGCCAGGACCTGAGGCATGGCACGGTCATTTCTGAGAAGAGCGGGGATCGGCCATCGCACCCCGCACTCCCG